GGTCATAGACAGAGTTTTTTGCTGTTCATAAAGAGCACAATGCTAACACAGTTCAAAGCTTCAGAGCCCCACAGAAAGTTTTTACTACAAGGATAGTAACAGCAGGGAGAAAGTGTAAATAAATAGCAGTGATTATGTCAGTGACTTCTGCAGTTAGACAGTGTATTCAGAGAGCTAGTGAAGAACACGAGATCACTGCCGGTATTACAGTGACACAGGGTGCTGCTGTGCAACTCGTGGTGATTCTGATGGCGAGTTTGGCGTCGGTTTCCCTCTTTTCCCTTGAGAGGGGATCTTAACATAAGGCCCTTTGATTGATACAAGTGTACGCCGTCTGTTATCTCGACTAGCGAGCACTTTAAAAGACCACCAGCACTGTTATTTTTATTCACATTCGTGCTGCATATTCCTCACAATGGCATCCCTCCATTATTATGGTCTGATCATGCCTCAAAGGAACCACATGTGAAGTTTTAATGCATTTATATGGTGAATATAATTCATTATCACAGACAGAACAGGGTGTAGAGCAGGCCAACAGCCTTGATAAGATCGCAGTGTTCATTATTGTTAGTTTTCTTTCATTTTGGTTTATTTGCAATGTCCAAATCCTGCACAGAATGGTAAGTGTTCTGCATGTGCCCCCCCCCCCACAGAAACTAACGAGCAATGAGAACTTTGCATTGCCGTACTGGAACTTTGCAACGGGGCACAGCGAGTGTGATGTGTGTACTGATTCCCTGCTGGGGGGGACCAGTACCGACGATCCCTCCCTCATCAGTCCACAGTCCAGGTTTTCCAAGTGGGGGGTGATTTGCAACAGGTATGTAAGGAACCGTGGGCCCCCAAGAATCACTAACAATACAAACATCGATTCTCTATACCCCAATGCTAAAACGATGAGGCATTTAAATTTGTCATTATGAGTATTTAAGCTTGGAAGATATTAGTATTAATGTTACTTTGTAGCTTGGAAGACTACAATCAGCGGGTGACCCTCTGTAATGGGACCAGCGAGGGCTCCCTGCGGAGAGGTTTGCCGTGGAATAACGTCACTCTGCCCAGCATGGATGACGTCCGGAGCTGCCTCAGCGTGAAAAACTTTGACAGCCCCCCCTACTTCACTAACTCCACATCCAGCTTCAGGTGACATGCCTCATCTCAGGTGTACAGTTTAACTTCATTGGAAGAAAACAAACAAAATGCATCAACATTCAAAATCTAGATGTATAGCTGTGAGTTTAGCATTGATTGCTGCTGCCACCTAGTGGCAAGATGCGATATTGCGCTTTGAAAATGATAATAGCATGGTTTACTATGTGTGTGGAAATTCTGAAGGAATTGGAGGGAATATTTTTCCTGCTCCATTTAGGAATACCCTGGAGGGTTATGACAAACCTAACGGTATGGTGGATTCCACGGTCTCCAACCTCCACAACCTCGTTCACTCGCTGCTGAATGGGACCAGTGCCCTGCCTCACTCTGCGGCCAATGACCCCATCTTCTTGGTATGAGGAATCCACATGGTCAGCCATCAAAAGTGCCTGTTTTACTTTGCAGTGGTTTCTTTTACTAAATTATGAATCTCTTACGTCAAATGATCTGAGTTTTTTTAAACAATAACTCCATATCGGATAGAATTCTTAATTTTAATGGTGAAGCATAAGAGCAAAGGACTATTATGCATGTCTGGCCCGTGTGTCTAGGTGCTGCACACCTTCACCGACGCCATCTTCAACGAGTGGATGAAGCGGTCTGTCCCCTCCGACTCCAGCCTCCCTGTGGAAATGGCTCCTATTGGTCATAACAAAGAATACAACATGGTTCCCTTCTTCCCACCCATGACCAATGAGCAAGTCTTCCTCCCGTCGGAGCAACTTGGATATTCCTACGCCGTCGACTTCGCAGGTCTGCCAAACTAGTTCAGCTTCCTAGTTTTAAATCCTCCACATAAAGTCGGTAACTGAATTGTTATAGGTGACAAAGAAGTATGTCATTTTTCTGTTTTACTCCTCTGTTATGGTTTCTGTTGAAAAAAAGATCCAATATCATGAATTAAATGCTTCTCTATTCCCATACAGCCCCTTTCCTTGTAAGAATTGGAATAGAATATTAAAGATCCCTTATTGAAGAAAGAAAATGTAGAGCATAGGCATGCACTGGTCTGACTGGTTTCCCCCCTCTCTGTCCCACAGACAACCCCAGCAGCCCCTCAGCTGTGGTTCTGGGCTCCACGCTTGGTGGCATGTTTCTGGGCCTGGCTCTGCTGCTCCTGCTGCTGGGGCTTTATCTCCACCGCAGGAGGAGCCAGGACCGCGAGCCGCTAATGAAGGCGGAGTTCTTCAGCCCCAAGTACACCGAGGAGGCTTAGTGTGTGTGGACTGTGCGGCACATCAGAGCAGGCGAATGGTGCAGCTACCAAGATGAAAATTAGGCTGATATTTCTGAAGAAACTGCACTGTAGCATTATCAGTAGCTTTTATCTTATGTGTCAGTCGACTACAGGTAGTTCGCCCTACACCATAAACAGAAGCTGCCGTTTAATTAATAGAATAAAAAACAAAAAGTAAGAACTAAAAAAAATCTAGTCTTGTCTAGTGAGATTGTAATTCCAAATTGTAGTCAATTTCGAGTACAAGACAATTAAGTACAAAGCAATTAAGCTGGCATTTAATGAGTTCTTTGCAATAGTTATTCAAGGGTAAATATGTATGACTGATTAGCTACATATTTAGTTTGAACTAAATGTCAGTCCATCTTATTTTCAAGTGGGTTCAAAAATGGTGATGAAAATCAGTGGTGATTGACAGTCGGGTACGAATTGGAAATGCCTGAGTTTTCCTTTGGTAAAGGATGTAAGTTGCTGGAAACAGTTTGGTTATTTTTAATAAATGTTTATTTGCACACCTTGTTATTTTTTTTCTGTATACAAGAGTAAGAAAACCCGAAAGCAAACCATGTAAATCATTTTTTAAAAAATTGTAAGGCAGATCTGTTTGGTGCCACTCATATTCTATTTAAAACCACAACCGGCATTTTTAGGTGTATTTTAAATCTCCAGATAGTGATACTATAGATTTCATAGATTTTTTTTTTTTCAGTAAAATATGGTCAAATGGATCTCATCACCAAATTTCAACAAAGTTACTGAAATGGCTTTGCATGGCTATTTTTTGCTGACATACATAAAAATTACATTTTTTAATTTTTTTTTTACAAGACAAAAAGTTAGCAATCTAAAACAAAGTGCAGTGATAAAAAATAAAAGGTAAAAGGCATCTCGAGTCGTCGTTACATTAAAATCTTCTATAGAAAGCTGTTTGAAGACGCAGCATCATAGACCCACTGTCGCAATGCAAGTGGAATAAAATCTCTTATGATTAAACATGTAATATTCCTCTGTATGACTTCTTATAATATGTCTTACATTCAGACAATGGGGGGGAGGGGGGCTGAAATGAATTACAAAGCAAGCTTGTACAACACATACGATGAACCGTTTTTTTTGGGGGGGTGGGGTGGGCTTTAGCCATAGAGACATATAGGTAGGAGGGTGTGTACCAATGTCAGATGATTGATATCTACCTGCTGGGCGTTTTAGACGTGTCTGTGTAAAGAATGCAGCCACTTGATATTTCAGTTTCCCGATTGGCTTTCAGTTGAGATTAAAGAAAAAGCCTCCTTCACTAATTCAAGACATTCCACAGTCAAGGAACCCATGGCAAGTCACTCACTGAAGCCAGTCTGCGCTGCAACAGGAATTTTCTCATTTTCAAAAGCCGCTAAGGGCCCTGTACCCTCCCTGGAAGGAAATGTGAGGGTGGGGGGGGGGAGCTTAAGAAGGAGTGGATCTGCAGCCACCACGTCTGCATTTCTGTGTCATTTTCGACTTTCCCAGCACCCCGCTGCCCTCAGCAGCATCTGCCGCAGTGTCTCTTTCATACGTCTTGAACCCTGCCGTCATGTTTTCGGCAATAATTTGGTAATTTGACCCAGAAAAGCAGCTGTAACAAATTCCATACAAAATCTAATCTTGTTAACCTCCCCTCCTGACAAAAAACATCCTTACCTTCTAGAGATGCTGTTTCCATAGAGACAGTAAGCACTTACCAGTACACATGTTCTCAGTTCAAAGATATATAAAAAAATTTAAAAGACTTAAAAGAAGTATCTATTTCTTAATTAGTTTTGGCGACAAAATCGCATTTATAAAAGCTTCGTACATTAAACACAATGGAGGATGAATAATTAATACTGCAAAAATACCTTTAAATTATCACTTGTTGTGGTACTTCATACATTTCATATATAGTTCATTTTATTAAAATTATTTTCTTTTTCCCCTTCATACCATTTCAGTTCCATTCTAAAGAATGTGTTTTCCTAAAAAATGGATCTTACATAAAGAGCTTAACTTTATTTTTTTTTTATAGAAACTTGTCCACAAAAAAAGGCAAGTTTTGTTTTCCGTAAAGTTGTCGTGGTCATGCACGGAGACAGAGATCGAAACGGCCCCCCCATTCAGTAGCATTACTGCCCGCCTGCAGTCAGGGGTAAGGAAAGGTGAGCGAAGCTTCTCAACACGTCTGGAAAAGCTGGTGAGCCTCGGCATGAAAGCCAGTTTAGCAGATGATCGACAAACCAAACAAAACGAATCCAGACAAACACAGAAATGGCAATGGCCAAACGAAAAGGTTGACAATACACCTTGCATGTTTACAGACATGTCAACCCTGAGCTAATAGATATAAGTCAGAATCTGAGATTATAAAAATAGATGATAAAGTACCAGACAGAAAGTGAGAAATACATTTTCTGCTCCTGTTCAGTAACAGACACAGGCCTCCTCAGATTCTCAGCAGGACATTTCCTCTTTAAAAAAATACACATATTAAACGGCCATCACGTTTGCCATGTGGACCACTGCTTTGGGCATGTTCATGTCGACAGGAAGGGGATGGAGCAGGGAAGAGGACAAAATCAGCATGCTTTCTTCAGGATGACATTAGCAGAGGAGCTTAAACACCCCGCTGCATTTATTGTAAAAACGCTTCAGCCAGGTGCATTATGGGAGCTTGCACTTCCTCTGCCTCAATTCGTAACACGTCCAGACAAAAAGCAGCCTTATGATGGACCTGCCTATTACCATGCTATACTCTGATGGTGCTCTTTACTGCTCAGGGAACGAAAACATCACAAATCATATTCTTTTAAGGTAGAAAACCAATCAGCGTCTGCATTTAAAGGAGCACAAAGTAGTCATTAGTAAAGACCTGATCAGATATGAGCTCCCATTTACTAAAAGATGAGTAATCTTTCATAGCGTCTAAAATATATGAATCCATGTATTTACATCAAATCTGTGCAAATTTAGAAAAATACATCATCAGAATACCCACCTGCTTTGAATTCTAAATATATTTTTTTTGCAGAAATAGGCATGTACTTTTGTATCTTGTTCAGCTCTTTAAATGATACTTTGCCTGGTTTTAACTTAAAGGATTTAAAAGGATTGGTATTTGAGCTCATATCACTGTAGGTTTTACTTAAGACGTCCCTGTGCATTCTCACAGTGTTGCGTATGATTTTTTCCCCTTACGTTTCTGTGTTAGGTTCGGAGGGTGCTGGGGGGTGCTGGGCCCCTTGCTTCTCCGTAAGACCTCTGGTATCTCCTCTGGTGCAGAAAAAAAGAATTTACCTATTTAATTCTCACAAAAACGTTTTCAAACGCTACGCTGTCCCGGAGAGCATCTCTGCGCAGTCATGGAAGGTGGCGTAAGCGGCTTGGCCTGTCACAGTAGGCCTCTTGAGCTCCCTGGCATTCTTTGGGGAGGAAAAAACAAGGAAAAGCAAGAAGCAGGTCTGAACCCTCCTGTACCAATTCCTCTAACTGGATCTCCAGGGTTGTCGTCCTGGTTGCTGGGGAGCGTAACAGCAAATCCCTGCTGTCCGAGGCAGCAGTCCAACTGCCATTATCTCCACTGCCTCTGCAGGGCCAGAGCCGCGAGGGCGAGGCCAGCGGCCAGAGCTAGGGAGGGGCCGAGGGCGCTGGCGGCGCTGGTGTTTCCTGCCGCCTGCTCCGCGCTCCCGTCGTCATCCGCCACAGGGGCCTTGGTGCTGACCAGCTGCAGCTCCGTCACGCATGCCTCCGTGCAGCCGCTGCCGCTGCCCGAACCGCTGCCCTCGTCACCTGCGGGGTAACAGGACACAGGGCACTGAGAGCCGCCCGGCCGCCCACACACTCGCCTTCCCAGAAGCCCACAGATAGCCCACACTATATCACATCCAGTGTGAAAGACAGTACAAAACTGAGGAATTATAAGCAGGATGTCAGGCAGAGTAGCTGGGCCTCCGTTGCGATTTCCCGATACAATGTCCGCACCTTACAGTAACTGCTACTTATTTTCCTAATGATGGAAGAGGTAAGTATACGTCTGGCATGTCATTTTGGCTTTAATTCATTTCTATCACAAAGCAAATTCTAACTAGTTGTAATGCAAATTCTTGGTATCAGAAATTCTATTTAATTAGTTATAACGCTAAATTTTAATATCGGAAATTCTATTTTAGCTAGTGAGATTCAAATGTTTTTTTCTCATTCATTTCAATTCAATGTAACTAATTTCTGATATCAAGAATTCAACTGTAACTAGTTATAATCCAATTTTAACTACTTAAAATCAAAATTTCAGATATCAGGAATTCAACTGTAACATTATAATTAAAATAATTAGTTACAAACTAATTCCCGATACCAGAAAATGTAGTTAAAATTAGTTAAAACTAGTTAAAATTTTATTTCTGATATCAACAAGTCATTTTGACTTACTAAAACTAAATTCCTGACATCATAAATTGGCATTTAACTAGTTAAAATTGAATTTGCGAGAAATGAATTAAAACCAAAGCTGCATTCCAGGGTATATGCGGCACAGTGTGACATATGGACCTTTTTCTGCACCATCACTGGGGTGTCCAGCAGGGAGCTGTAATGTCAGTTTTTCTACAGTCTACTCTTTGACAATTAAACAAAAGAGTCTGTTCTCCCATTGTAAGACCTCTTTTTTAACACTGACGTACTTCAGATGCTGTCAAATCCTGAATAATACTAAACTTGATATTACAAAGTAAACTCCCCTACTAAAGAGCAATAATAAAGATTATTCAACTGGAAGCAACTGTAAGTGTGTCACAGAATCGCAGGAGTTATCCTTAAAATACTCTGAAATATCTGTAGACTTTTATTCTGATCCAAAAAGAAATTATAAGAGGAAACAGGCTGAGAGTTCATGATATGTGGCTTTTCTTGGCTGATCTCTTCACACTCTTTAATTTCTGGTTAATACAGGATTTATATCCCCCTTCCCCACAGCTGGATTAGTGTATCTGAGGGGGAGTCTGAAGGTCGCAAATCCTGCCCTGAGACGGCTGTCTCGACGCTTCACACAAAGCTGTCATTTTGCCACTGTGGATGTTTACAGCGACTCCAGATGAGGCCTAATCACAAAATGGCATCTAGACCACAGATTTCTGTGACCAAACTATCAATTAGTCCATCTTTTATCCATCACAGAGTAATGAGGGGCCATAACACCCATCAAGGACTGTACACTCTAGGCTGGGGGTGTTTCAATATGCGTACTTGGCCATGCTTGTGTTCTTGTGTACCCGGTTTTATGTCAGCTTCCATTGCCGAAGACCAGGTGCAATACTCAAGTACAGAAGTACAGAGGACAGTAGAAATCCCCGGATGTCGATCTTGCCCCACCCCAAATGTCAAGGATACACAGGCTGCATTATCAGCAAAAAAAAAAAAAAAGTCCCATGATTCATTGCGCCCCAAGGTTGTTCTTGACTGTCTTGCCAAGACCACAAGTACGATCTCTGCGTTTCTGGTATTGAGAAACTCCCTGGCTGTCCGTCCTTCACATCGCACACACAAGTACACACACACACACCATGGGCAGTTAACCTCACTGCATGTCTTTGGGCTGCAGAAGGAAAAAGCATGAAAACACCACACACACAGAGGTGGGATTTAATCCCCAAACCCCGCAGTTATGAGCCAACAGTGCCACTCTGAGAACTTCCACACAAGTCTGTCCTCTTCCTCCCACTCGCAGTATACATTCTTGTCTTTAATGTACCCCAAAAATTCTGTTCATAATTTTAACAATTAAATATTTGCTTTGAGGAATGGGGTGAAAAAGATCCTGCAAGCAACAGCAATCAGAGGGCGATGAGTTCCAGCAAGCAGCATTTCACTGACTGAAGTCATAGCACAGCAGTGTTAGGAAAACACCTGCCATGCTGCAGGATCAATACAGCTATTAATTATTATTAATTATTATTTTATTTATAGCTATTAAACATGCACTGCTCCTGCTGGCCTAGTACTGCAGGATAAGATTGGCCTTGAAGAGGGGAAAGATAGACAAGCCAAATGGAGCAAACAGCAAGTCCTTTTCAATTAAGAAAAAGAAATTCCTGCTTGCAGTTTAATGAAATGCTACATGTCTAATTTATTTAAATAGCAAATTGTAATTAACTAGCAAATTGTGAAGTCTGCATGTCTGCTAATTCTGCAGTCATAATGAATACTTAGTAGATTTCAATTAAATTAAAAAAACACTAATTATATTTCACCAATCAGCGATGTTTTTCATATAAAATAATTAGACAAGGTTAACTTTTTACAGATATTTAGTGTGAGGCGGTTTAGCTAACTCCACATGCAAACAGTTCTGCGTATTCAGAACACTGATAAAACATTGAGAAAGCCCCCCCCCCCACTGACAAATACTGGGGGCCACATCATGACCAGTGGAACAGGAGACTCACTGGAATCTTGGAAGTAGATGTCATTGCCGTTATACGCATTCTTCAGCTTGTTGGTCATCACTCGCAGAGCCATGATCTGCTGGCGGATGAAGGTGTCAGGCCGTGTGATGTCCACCTCCACCTCAGGGTTGTTTATCTGGTTGGTCAAACCATCTTTGGACACCTCGGGGAAATACCTACGGGTGGCACAAATCCAGGTGCTCATTGGCAGGGACAGCTACGGTCACTTGACTGATCAGCATAAAACAGAGTAGGGCCTATAAACCTAAATCATGATGGTCGTAAGTCCGCCGTAATGTCCATGCCAACCGCTAACTGCACGACGAGAAACAGGTACAAGAAAAACTTCTGTGAAGCTGTCCGGCTCTGCCAGGAAATGAACTTGACAGTTGAGGGTAATGAAACGATAATGGAAAAGGTTTCTTCTGCTCAGACCAAATAAGTACTTCAGTGAACACACACCGCTGATGGGCCAGGTTATTAAACATCGCAGATGTACGTATGGCAAGGCGAACAACAATTCATTAAGCCGTTACCAAAACAATTCATGAAGAACATCGGAGCAACTTGCCGATGCGCTCCCGATAGGTACAAAGTCACTCTTGGTAATAAAACCCGACAGACTCAATAAAACGTAAGGTGCTCTCCCGCATGCCTGATTTGTTAGGGGAATTCTCCCAAAAAGTCACCTAGTTGTGGGGAGAGAAAGGATCAAGTGTAGCATATCCTGAGGTGCCCTTAGCGATAGAATTTATTGCTGTCTGCAGCAGTGTTCTGAACACTTAAATCAAATTCTGGACACTAGCAGAGAAAAGTGACAAAAGGGGTGTCACTCTACTGTATAGCTAAGTACTCACTGTCAAAATCCGACTTCATAATTATTTTGGAATACTTCTGGGATTAAGAAGGACAACAAGTCAGACATCGCACCCTTCCTGGACGTTCCGGAAGAATCCCACAAATTCACAGCAGCTCCCAGACACCTGCAAACGATGTGCATCACAGATCCTCAGAGAGTTTTTTTTTAAAAATGTTCACGAGAGGAGCAGCCCCCCCCCCCCAAATCTTACCGACAGCACCTCACCTCCAGGGTCTCCCCGGGATCTATATGCCCAAGGTGAGATGTCTGACGGCTACCAATTCAATGCATTCATTCAATACACAAATGCAATAGATTAAATGTCGTCATTTGTTATGTGTCACAAGAATTTGCTCAATAATTGAACAATTACTGCTATTATAACTTTAAAAGGCCAATGCTGTATGACACGTGTCCAGTGCACCGATCCATTTGACATGGCTTGAATCGGCTGTTTATATTACTCTACATAAGAGAACGATGTGACAAAACTAGGTCTACCTTAAATTAATTCTCAATTTCGCACCTCAAGGCGGTATAACACACCAAATGCTTATTTTTCACACCAAACTGAAGGAACTTAAGCTAACATGGCGCAGATGAAGCAGTCTTTTATTACACCATCTGCTGATATTAAAACTGCATGAAGGGTTATACTGTGGGGAACAATATCATTTTTACAACGGTTTCTGCTTCATAACTAACGTTAGAGGGAAAGATCCAGAAGAGAAGGCCATCTTCTGTGCCACATGTAGACGAATCGTACTTTTCACTGACAGAAAGCGATCTCCATGCGGGCGTGGGGGCCCTGGGTGCGGCTTATCGCGGGGATGTCGGACCCGGAACTGTGTACTGGTCTGAATGGATCCCTGATAGTGCAGACCTGGTGCAAACTGTGCATTAATAAACATTTAGTGATGGATGTTTAAAAAGATGATACTGAGAGACTTAGCTTATGGGTCGGCCTATTTAAAAAATGACCGAATATAAACCTCAATCTGCCCGTATGCAAAAACAATGTAATACATCCCTGACTTGTTACTTCATGGCTCTGGATACTGAATTGAAATGTATTTAAAGACAACATGTAACAGATGACAAGCCTGACTGTGTAACAATGAAAAATGCAGCACACACGCACAATATACCAGTTAATAGCATGCATCTGCTTGCTTGAAAAGAAATTCAATGAGTCCACGGAGATTTGGATGATATCTTTATCTTGCTTCTAAATAAGCAGAGTTCTAAATATTTTTCCTCCAAAAGACGGAATAATGGATTTGGAAATTTAATCAGTGTAATTTGCCTGTCCCTTATGGATTGCAACCGCATTTAAACTCGTTTGCCCAATATTTTCTGCTGCTAATGCAATTAGCCCCAGTCTGCAATGTCTCTTAAAAAAATAGAAGGAAAAAAAATCAAATAAACAGCAAACTTCCTCTCTAGGGATGAAAGATCTATATTTAGTTCAGTGCAATGATTCTCTTGAGAGGAGGAACAAGGAAATGTTGGGAATTTTGTTTTCCTTTCTTTGCGATGCTGCAGTTTTGTGTTCCTGCAAGTTCCCCTTTACGCCGTACCATGGGCTAGGGTCAGGGGAGACCCCGCGGCGACCCTACCTGCCCTTCGTGTGCCCGTTCCAGCACTGGTCATCATCGGCCACACCAGCCGTGACTTCATCCTCCTTGCAGATGCCATCAGGCAAGGTGGACCAGAACTTCTTGGACTCCTTCAGCTTCTCCTTAACGTCAGTCACCTGTAAAGACGCGCAACATCGGGATGCTTATAACGGGAGGCCATGGAATTGTTATAATGCTGGAAAGGAATTTTAAAAATGGTTATCATATACATACTGATCATCACATTATGGGGATCAGTGTGTAAGGGGACCCAATGTAACAGCTCCAGGCTTCTCCTGAAGCTTTGGGGCCCGAGGTGAAGGAACCCCAAATGCTAAACGCAGCCTTAGCCACAGTTTGCGCTTGTTTATTAGCAATTAGCATTTGCCTGCAGTTGCTGACATTGTGGCCGCAGGAACGATCAGATTCCCACCCGCTTTGCCTTCGAAGAGACACTCATGAATATTGTATTAACATCTAGCTAAGCAGGATATCATTACTCAAGTGTGGAGACAAGGACGACCCTAAGAACAGCGCTGTTTTCTGTCCCTTAAGAGGAAGCGCTGACACTTTTTAAAAACGAATCTATTATTTACCACATAGCTTACTAATGTACCATCACCACCGCTACGCTATTTCACTTTGCAATTTTTATTCACCAATTCCCGTGCCTATCGCATGCATTAGTCTCGACTCTAAGTTTTTATTGTCGTTACTTTGGATTAATTTAATGACTTCAATTAATCAACACATCTAGATGTTATTTTTATTTATTGCGTAAACCTGACGTGCTTTGATATTGACACACAAAAAGTATTCATGCAAATTACGTAAAATCCATAAAAGTAATATTCATAACAACGTAATGAAATGCAAAATAAAGGAATGAATACTGCCGAGGACTTAAGATGCTCTCAAGAAGGTGCTTGACAATCTGAGGAACGACCCTTATATTCCGAAGAAGAAAAGAGCCGATTCTGAAAGATTATCTCTACATTAATGTCCGGGAAGATTAACGGCGCTAGCGAGCCAATCTCCCAAGATGTAATTCTCGGATCACACGGCGCTTATTCAGATCCCTTTAATCTGATAAGGAAGTTCGTACCCGATAAAACCGTTTTGCGGACACAAGTTGTGACACTGTAGGCGAAAGCCGTGTTTGTTTATCATTGGATTTCACAGTAGTGCTAATTGATATTAATCAAGTGCAGGACAGAGCCGATGGTTATCAGCGCTGCGGCAGCCAGGGAGCTCCCTGCGTGGCGATCCGTTACACCCCCGATCGGGCTGTCAGATTAGAGCCTGCCGGCTGCCTCTGGGCCCCAGATGTGCTGACGGACAGTGCGGACACCGCCAGGCCAGGCGGCCCAGGGCCGCGCCAGCGCCGCGCCAGCGCCGTAGCGACACGCGGCATCCCCAGCGCGGCCTGATTAGCGTAAATCCGCCCCTGTCCTTCCTTTCGGTGGCGGCCATTGAATACGACAGCATGCGTGAAATGCCAGGCTGAGATCACAGCAGTAGCTGGGCTTCAAGAAGCCGACAAGGGGCAGAAATGGGGGAGATTAAGAACATAATAACAATGGGAGTGAAATCACTCTAAAAAGTGGACCTCGAATGGGTGTAAAACAGCAAGGGAACCACAATTCAAAGACTCAGAGGATTAAAACATGGGCGGTTTTCTGTGTATCTCGCTGCTTTTAAAGCCGAATATTTAAAGTAAAGCATAAAGGTTTCTGGTGCTATGCGTGATTGGTACTGCATGAATGGTGATCCACAGAATGTCCTTTGCTTGGGCTTTTTGATTCGATGAGTGTAGGTCCTGCTGGAGGCCTCTGTGATGCAGTAATCCCATTACAGACACCTCAGCCCACAGGCTCCCAGAGTCACTGACCTCCACCTGGACAGAGCCAGCACTGGCTTGGGGCTCAGCAGGTCCAGGGGGTGTGTGACAATGTCACCCCACCCCCCAACCATAACCATAAACCCCACAAAATACTCAGTGGCATCAAAGTTAGTCATGTCAACTTTTTTTTGTATCCTTTCAAAGGTAAGAGGTCTTTTATAATGACCCTGTTAAAATGCTTGAGTGACCATGTGACCAAAACTAGTAAGGAGAACAAAAAAGGACTTTAAGTCCCTTATCCAGCATGGATATGGACACCCGGAGCTGCATCCATTCTGCTGTATGTGTTATTAGATATGGGCATTGCAAGTAGAATAACATGATAACATCCATTTGTCTTCCATAATTGCACTTGCATGAGATCTACTTGAACATGTTAAGAACATGCAACCTTCGTATTCCCTAGAGGAATAACGGCACAGTGCTAGACACTGAATTACTGCTCCACTCAATTCCATAATAGTCGTTTGAAAAATTCTTTATTTTATGTTTAATTAATGACCTGATTTAAAAATTTGCGCAAGTATTTAACTTTCTACGGCCAATAGATGGCACTACACCACTACGAGAGTACTATCATGAGGCATAGAGGGGAGAAACGATGCTTAAAAAAAAGCACAAAGCGAGGAAGGATGATAGGAAAAGAAAAGAATGTGATAGAATGATAATAGACAAGAGAGGGGAGGAGATCAGGATAGAAAAAGAGATAGATGGAGAAAAAATGAATAAAAGAGAGGGAATGATGGGAGAGCTGGGAAATAAAGGCACAAAAAGAGAAAATGATAGAGGAGAGTGTGAGAAAAACGGAGAAAAGTGCAGGAGACATGCTGTCATGCATAGTGAGGCTGATGGTTCATGTGTTACCAGCAGAAATTGCAAGCAATTAACATTAAAATTTTAAAAGGAGGCTCCGTGGCAGGTGGACTTCAATGGAGGATGACGCCATGGGTCCATCAAGCTGCACAGGGCCCGGAATTAACCCGGGGTCTGCCCTGACCGCCACTGGGGTCATTCCGTGCTGAGAAGAACGTTCACTGGAGTTAGAAAATATAGCGGAATACCAGAGACCCACATTTACGAATCAAACCAGAAAAGCAGCAGTATGGATGCGATCCACAATACGGTTTTAATCAGCTGTGGCAATAACAACCATGAAAATGTCATAATCTCAGGGAAGCTTCCAGAGAACATTAAATGGTTTTACAAGAATGGGGCGACTTCACTGGATTGTCAGGAATTCCCCAAAGACCAACAATAAAGTGGGACACTGCAGCATTTATTCATTTGAGGGGTCTGATGATGAAAAGAGGCAGATTAAATTTCAATCAAAGCCAAGTCTGTGGCTGCTTTTGAGGCTGCGGAAGTTAAACAAAAATTTTTAAATGCATGGAATGAATGAATAAGTGTGTTTTGCTTTTATGCCATTAGGTTAAGCTCGGGTCAGAGTGGCTCGAGGCCAACTAATGAAAGACTTTGTGGTTTCGTACCACGAATCGGTGATGCAAAAGATTCCATTTCAATACAATAATGACAATAATTTCATAATCTTGTCCATTACTCTTCAGCGTTAATGCTTAACGAAGGATATGGTGACTCGAGAAGTGATATTAGCACTTAACTAAAGAGCTATCTGCCTATAGACTTCCACTTCCCTAGAGCCTCAAACTACAAACCACTTCCGACCCTCGATCCAGTCCAAACCCACATTACGCTGGGTCCCCTTACACACTGTTTAATACACCGGCCCATTATGTCCGCTAGCAGATGACATTTCTTTGAAGAGTGGATGTTGTTTTTATGTATGGATTTGGTAAGTCCCCCTACTTACAGCTCAGCTGTGATTACCGTAAGACACTAACGGCTAATAACGTCAAAAGTAATTATAAATAAAAATTAAAAAGAGGCCACAGGCTAATCCTTTAATAAGAGGGATGTTATGGTGAGGCGTACTTTGTTGTCCACTGAAGAAAAGTGGTATAAACTCAAGCACTTAAACAGTAGGTCTAAGATATCTTCTCTCAGGCCACTGAGAGCACGTAGTGTTCCTGCAGTGATGGCTGCAGTGATGGCTGCAGTGATGACTGCAGTGTGTGCACCGAGGGTGGGCTGGGGGTGGGGGGGCAAGGATACCTGTGGGAAACCTTGAGGTCTGTCTAATTGCAGTCAGATGCAATGGTGTGAAACACTCTTGTAGTAAACATCATTAAGAAGGAACCATAAATATTGGATGAGCTTCTTGGATAGAAAATCCTGCATGGTCTGTGTAGTGCCTGTATATTTTTGTTTTAGCTGGTGCCAGGAGTTTATCGCTCACTATTATCACAGTTTTTTACACTTGAATGGTGTTTCAGATCATTTGTACTCTATACATGTGATATTGCCCATTCCTCAGCTTTCACTTTACCGAAAGTGTGTTGTGACCTCCGACGGCCAAATGCAATCTTTTAACACTGACAAAATTACAGATACACCAAAGGAACAGACTGCAGAAAGCAGACATTCATATATGAGACTCATAAACATCTTAGCGTCATACAACATTCCCACAAACTTTCCAGCCTTGTTATTAATTAGGACAAGAGAATGTTTCACTTTACTGAAAGTGTATTGTGACCACCAATGGCCAAATGTCGTCTATGAACATACTGACAAAATCCATTAGGCCAGGAACATATTATGTATTGGATTTCATTGTTATAGGTGGTAGCTGTGAATACCTGTAGAGTTGGGGGTCACATACCCCAGGATAGGAGTTGACGGCAAGTGGAATAAAGTTGACAAGACAGTAGAAGTTGGTGTAAGCTCTATTTATCGTGGAGGAGTCATAAAGACAGTCCATGTCATTGAGAAGACTTGTGAATACAACATAAAATCAGTAGGTCACGAAAAAAAATCAAGAAATATTTGCAAGGACTAGAGCTGCCCCATGTAGTATTTCAGGAAGGAAATTTAATGAACATCATAGACAGTGTGATAGACACTTCAACCATACGCCTGAGAGAGCAGACTCAAGAAGCTGATGAAAGCAGGAAAGAGACACAAGCAATCTATTTTCAGAGTCATGTCTGCTGGTTTCCACAATGAAAGAGGCCGGTGTTTGATGCACTGTGTGTATGTTCCGGATGTCAGGACCTAGGAGGTTGTCTGGCATGGGTCGTGATTTCTGTAATGAAGCGATGGGCATCAGATGGACCACTGGGGAGGACTGTGTCCCAGGTGATGCAAGAAGGGGCT